TGCTGCAAAACCTCAACAAATGCTTCCTTCAAAAGCGGGTTTGAAGCTGCGACTCTTTGAGAAGTGATGTCAAAATCTTTACCAGATCTGTAGCCGAAACAGCAACCATCAAAATATTAGAACACGCGATATATTCTCAACAAAATGTAAGCATATGCTTATATTCTTAATATCTTTGACCTATTGTTTGCCCGGATGACAGAGTTGAGGATATCACAAGACAACGATTAAATTATGTTGACATTTGATAAACACTGTTCTTTCATGTCCATGCATGGGACTATCCTCTCTATATCCCACACTACCCCCATCTAAGTAGTGGAAGGGATGAAATATAAATAGCATCACTTACGGGTCATAAACGATTCCTCCAGCTTCTTTGACAATCACAGCACCACCTGCCACATCCCTGAGTTCAAGAGTAGATTATATCAATCATGCATCCAGATGAACTTTTCTTGCATCAATCACAACTACGTACCATGGGCCTCCATATCCAGTTTCGTAAAACAAATCAGTCCTTCCACATGCAATTCCGCAAAGATTCAATGCACAGGAGCCAGTCATCCTAAGGGATCTCACCTGATAACAAGATAATCAGATATGAATTTTAAGAACACCGACACATTTTACCAAAGCACATAGCTTCCACAGCATGTTCTGGTCTCACCTTGAAAAGTAAGCTGTTAATTCTGTTCGTGGTGGCATCCACAGTAGACTTGTCACGTTTTGTTCCAGCCTGCTCTTAGAAGAATTTAGTTTGGTCAGTTCCTTATGAAACATAAAGGAGTGGACTTGAAGTAGAAAGGAGTTTTAACCAGATTCCACACAGAGCATAACAGGGGTGAACTTAAAGCACTCCTTTTGCAGGGTATTTTTAAGTGCAACATGGTAAAAAGTAAATACATTCACAATGCATAGATCTGCATTTCAAAAACAGGGAGTTGGATTTCTAGAGTCCACGAACAATATTTTAATATAAACAAGAAGGGTTAGCAAGCCAGAAAAATCAATCCAGGGTTAAAACAAGCTACCATTACTCAGCACTTAATATTTCTGACACTATCTGGAGTTAAGACTGAAATCGAATGTGACCAAGGCAATTTTAATACCCTTCAAACCGATCCGATAAGAAATCAATTCGAGATGGACAGTTAGTAGGATAGAATTGTACCAAAAAAAATATGAGACAGTAGGGCACCAATTCATCTCAGGTTTCAAAACTGATTCCCGGTTATCATTTCAGTTTAAGCTATCTAACACCTTTAGGCTCGTTGTAATCATTAATTTATTAAAAAAATCATGACAAGTTTACTTCTTGTTTACAAGCACTTCTCAGTTACCCTTATAGCAAGTTTGGGCAGACAACAATGATGCTGAAAAGCATACCTCTGTTGCAAGAAGAGATTTCACAAGCTCACTTTGAGATGATACTGCAATCGAAACACAATAACTCAGTTGCTTATGTGTCATGGAAAGATTAGCATGCAAAGGTATCAAAATATGGAAACTGACAATAGTCAACTCAGAGACACCTTTTATGGGTTTTCCATTCAGAAATGCACCTTTTCCATGGACGCCTGTAAAAAGCTGCATTTATAAATCCAAAATCTTTTAGCAAATTACTGGAGCACATTTCAAATTCTATAAAATTTTGACAGAACATCCTTATAGTAACTTTGATGTTAAGTGGGACAATATACGACCACATATCTGAAGTGAAAACAAGACGTGTTCAAGAAGGCAGACAAAAGTTTGATGGACTAACTGCTTAGATATAGCTAGATACTCGTTTTCCTGATATTTAAATATTGACAGACTCAACATCATAAAGCAGACATTTATCTGAGTAGAGGACCATGAGGCTGAAAACTAGTGGTCACTGGTTAGTGTTCATTTTGTGAGGAAAGACGCACTAACATCTAGCATACATGTAGTAGATCAGCAGGCTATATGAAAGGAGGTTATCTCTGCATGTTCTACATAAAATTTTAACCATTTAAAGTTCCAAGTAATATCTGGCCACCTAAAACTAACATGCAATTTATAAAATCTCACCTCTTCCATTATTGGGTTGTAAACAACACCTACTGTAGGAACTTTTCCAATTGTAAGACCAATAGAAATGCACACGAAGGGGAACCTACATCCACACATGTTGCGACAAATTAAAGTGATGTTACATGCATAAAAACAAGAGGAAATTGCCTTCACTAAACAATGTTAAAAATAAATAAATTGCATTTACCCATGGACAAAGTTGGTTGTTCCATCAAGAGGATCAACTATCCATGTCGGTTCATCAGTCAGTTCTGTAATACCACAGGCAGCAGTAGTTTCTTCCCCAATGAACTAAGAGAACCAGCAAAAGAGAACTTTCAAGATAAAAACAGAGGCACTTTTTAGGAGACAAGATTCCCCGTACAGATCAATAATGCTCAAATTCATCACCTACAAAGTAGAAAATACTAAATTAAGTTGTTAACCTTATGTGAGGGGTGCTGCTGTTTGAGATAATTAAAAATAAGATCCTCACAAGCCTTGTCAGTCTCGGTAACTAAATCCACCTGCAATTGAGAAATAAAATAAACAATTGTCAGTAATTACACGCATATAGTCAAGTGTGTTTAGCCACAGCACTTTTATCCGGGCTAAATTAACACAAATGGATTGGCAACTTACAATTTTTTAATTTTCTCCTCTGCTCCACAGTTATGATGATACAGTCCAAAGGAAATATGGTAGCATTACAAAATAGCAAGGACACTTTCAATTTTGTTACAAACTCGATGAACTCAACGTGAAGATCAAAACTTTGTTTCCCAGCAGCTTTACAAACAAGGATTTTAGCACCTCATGCACGATGAATTCAATTACCGTTAGCTTTACAGACGTTGATGCTAAATTCAATTGCAATTTTAAAGCTTCCCCGGCATGTTAAATTCAATTCCAGTTTTGTTACAAAACAAGATCACCTCAATGCCAAGATTAAAACTTTATTTCCATTAGCTTTACAAACTGGGATCTTAAAGCTCCCCCTTGCATTCTAAATTCAGTTTCCAATCAGATATAATCAACCACTGATCTGAGTTGAAGATTATTGAGCAGCATTTGATCAACAATTCTCCTTTCTTTAGGGGGAAAAAATTGCTAAGCACCACACAAACTCTACATTCAAGATCACATGATGCAACAAGAATGCGCAAGATAAGACTACCTTGATTAACAACCAACAAGAAAAAGAGATATAAAAAGAACCCAAGAAAAGGAAAGATGGGTACCAGGCCTTTATGCTCCACATGCTTGGTCTGGTAGAATCCTTCACGGATTATCTACAAAGCACACAAGAAATGGAAAATGAGACTAAATTTGAGACCCCTAAAAAAGGAATAACAAAATCTAAAATTTATAACTCACCTCACCAGCTCTCTTGGCTGCCTCAACAGCAGTCTGCAAGAACTCTGAAAGAGAATCTAAAACATCCCAGATAAAAAAACAACATGCAAAAGTCATCAAGATCCCATACTGAAAATGAACAAAGAAATAAAAAAAAAATCGAGAAAGAATGCAATGAAAAAACTTGATGGGGTCCTACCATTCTGTGCCATGTTTTAAAATTTGTATGTAGAAAGTAGAGAGTGACAGAGGGAAGTAGATTGTGGTGGTGATGAAAGGTTCCCTGTCTTGAGTTTTTTTACGTCTAAAAGCGAGCAGCAGGCAAACTACAAAATGGACCGTTTGCTTTCTGTTTTTTACGCTCTCTATACATATATATATGCTGAAGAATCTGCCTTTTCACCCGGTCTGTATACATCTCGCATCAAATTCCTGGTGAAAAAGGAAGTTCTTTAATGGTGCCTTTTGAGTCCTTTTAACCCTTTTTTATGGCTACTCTTTGTTACTCGAGTTTTCCTATGAAATTACAGAAAATATTAACATCCAAATGATGGGGAAAGAGATTTGCTCAATTTTGAATGATGGAGGGCATCATTGGTGAGCCTAGGAAGAGAGGGACCAAATTGAAACCTCCCCAATAACTGGGGGTATATTTGTAGTTTTCCTAGAAATATTTGTAGTTTTCCTAGAACAAAAATACCTAAAATCTTACATTTCTTTTTAAAATAAAAAAACCCAGCATCAAACTCAGTGATTACTGATGAAAGCATTAAAATCAGAAACCGTGAGAATACGAAATGAATATGGTGGAAAGTAAATTCGGATGATAAAGGCATCTCCTTTTTATGGCAATAAAAACATAGTTACAGTGACGAATCGAGGATCAACTTAGTTGGATGGATTAATCTATATTAATACATAAAATTTGAAATAACATTATTTTTTTTATTAAAAAATAGGTTTTCCCACGATTTAACTCGGATTACGAGGTTAGCCTATATATACTGAACCGGATCTTATGAGGAGGATAAAAAGAGAGAGCAGCAGAGATGAGAGAACATTCCGGTTTTGGAATTGAAGTAGATGCTTGGAATATGCTGGTGCATACAATCATTCACTCGTGACTCACGCATGGAAGCCTCATCTTTAATAATAAAGAAAATGACCCTTTTCCTGACAAGAAGAAAAGAATTTTGCTGTGAATTCTCTATCCTTTGGCCCACCAAACGAAGCTTCCTATCATATCCTCCTCAGTAAGTTCTGCGGAGGAATGTCCTTCGATACTATGTATATGGTCAGATAGTGTCATGGAGGACCCCTAATTGCGGTGGGAATTCAATAACATGCGACTGCTGCCTCCTCTCCTCACTTGAGACTTGGTTCAGACTCCTACCGTTGACAAGAGTTATAGCGACTTTACGTCCGCACTCCCTCGAACAAGGATTCGTAACTTGTACACATGAAGTCCGTGTACATATGGAGGGGGGGATCTATATGGCTTCAAGTAGGTTACCATGGGGAATGAACATCCGGTGAAGCTGAATAATGACGGCTTCCAATGGAGGACATGGTTCACAAGAACACGTACATGCTCTCTAACAGGGTTCATAAAACCAAGTATTGGATTGAACTCGATTCATGTCTCTTTATTTCTCTCTTCCTTTCAATACATGTAATTTTACCACAGATCGATGAATACTGATATTGTCATCAGGTTTGGGCTATGCGAGCTACAATTTATGTGAAACAACCAAGCTCCTTCATGACTACTCTCTAGGCTCAAGGGCAGCTATTTCTCTCACAACTTGAGCTTTGTCTGCCTCAAATTGTTCATCCTCTGCAAAAGAATACACCAATGAATGTCAATACAGCATCAAAGACATTATAATGTCACTAGAGATGTATTTCTTTTATACCTTTGTCTATCTTGAAATCAGCAAACAAACGAAGAAGCTTGCTCCTATTTGCAACAAGTATGTTGACGACGTCAGGAGGTTTATTTTGATTTGCAGCAAAGAGCTGGAGGAAGGGGGGAAACAATAAGAGAGGTAGATAATAAGGCACGTTAATTTAAAGAACCAAAGAAAAAACCTCAATTTCTTCCTTTAAGCTATACCTTGAAAACATGAAATGCTTCTATCTGGATGCTCTTACTTGATTCCTGCAAAGGAGGATTCATCACATAAAAGTTGAAGTCCAATTATGTATGAGATTGATGTTCTAACAATCTATTTAGTGGTCATCACATATGCCATAATGGTGCACCAATAGTTTCCAAAAAATATGACAAAGCATGAAAACAAGCAATCTCAAAGGAGTCGTACCCTGAGAAGATTCATGAGAATCCTCAAGTTATCCCTTGAGCTCACATATCGTGTCATCACAACTGCATTAGAACGATCCAATAATATATCTCCCAACAGCTGTCACAATTAAAGAAGCCTTTTTAATAAATAGTACAATTACCAATTGCAATAACAAAGCACATTTTAATGAAAGCATTTTACTAGGTTCAGATGCCTAGAGAATTGCTTCATTGATATATGAGCGAGATATCATTAAGTTTCCCTACCTTGACAGCTTGTCGTCTTGTAATGTAATTGGTGGATTCTAGCAGCTTCGAATTAAATTCAGCAAAAAACTGAAGTCATACAAAGTTAGACAATGTCAAGCTCTGACCAACATTTAGCAAGCATGGCCACAACAGGAAATAAAGACACATTTAGAATGTTGCAATTCATGTTTTTGTCATAGATATGTAGCTACCAGCATTCAGTTTAAAAAAGCAAAGAAGAATGCTATAAAAATGAGGAGATAAAGCTGCTCAATTCATCAGAGAGTCAAGTAATAGATTCTACTTTATATGCCCGATCATTGCAGAGCCACAATATTTTGATGTTAATGCATTACCAGAAAAATAAATTTGCAAACCGTTTTTCTCTAATCTCACCCAAAGGTTTTCCAGCTAACAATTTTGTTGGCCTTCAAATTCTTTGAAAAAACTATAGAGGATCAGGTATGCCCCATTATACAGTGTCAGTGCATGCATACCTGAGGCAATATATGTGCCCATATGTATCTATCGGTATATAGGATTTGAATTTGGGTGTTCAAAAAAACCATTAGAGCTTAAAACCTTTACATTGCTTTTATAGGATTTTGGTTTAGATTCTACTGTATGTCTCCATCATTGAACAGTCACGATATCGTGTTATTAATGCATCACCAGATAATTAAATCTGCACATCATCTTTCACTAATCTCAGCCACAATTTTACTCACCAAAATACTCGTCTGCCTACAAATTCTTTAGAAGACAAGAGGATTGGGCATGCCTATCATCCACCTTGTGTGTGTGGGCTGACCCAAGGCATAAGGCATACATAGCAGAAACAAGTATAAACATGTACAAGTATACATAGCAGAAACAAGAATAAACCTGTACAACTATGCATCTAAACATTGGACAGCAGAACTCACCCAATCATAGTTCTTAGAAAGAAATTCAGCAACTGTAGATTTATGTCTTGTCAATAGTTCCTGCAACAAAACGATATAAAAGTCTCAGATTCACACTTCAACTAATAGCAAATACAAGGCCGAAACATACAAACTTCATAAACATGCAATAAAGACAAATAAAATTTCCTGGATAATAATCTGCCAGAGCATTTAAATTGAAATTTGGGGAATCAAGGGCTGTCAGCAGTTGCAAAAGCTGAATATACTTAACCATTTCATAATAGCTGTGCAAAGATGCAGTACAGTATCGAGCATGTCCAACACAGTTGCATTACAGTACAGAAGATATTCTTGCCAAATCCCTAATGCAACGAGCAGAGTTTCGAAAGTCATTTGGAATTAACATTTAACAGTGGATGATATCTATACCCACAAAAAGATTGCATTGTATGGAAAAATCAAAGTGCATAAGAGAGAGAGAGAGGAAAGAGGGATGAGAAAATGATTTGTTGTTCATATCTTTTTCAATCATGCTTAACCTTGAAAGTTGCAGCAGCATCTGCAGAAATGTCAAAATATGGAAGTTGTATATAATCAAAGAATTTCTTGACATTTGGTGATTCCAGGACATATCTGCAGTCAAACCCGACAAATGAGTGTACAAAGCATTGGCAGCACACAATTAAAAAAAAACAATAAATAAATAATTATGGAAGCTGATAGTTGAGAAATGCAATCCCCCCAAAAAAAAAAAATGAAATTGATTGTTCTAGATATTGACTTCACATCACATATTGACATGTTTACATAAAGATTAATGGAGCACATATTTTAGTATAATTAAAAGTCTAAACAGAAATTTTTTTCAGGATTTTTAAGGAAAAGATTACTCTCCTAATCAGAGACAATATTGATAGTCTGATATAAATTAAACCACATAATTGATTTTGCTCACCTGGCAACAGTCTGGTGACGTATGCACTCCCTCAACATTACACCATAGTGCAAAGCCATATCTGTGTTTTCATAACTAAAGAAGCAAGATACTGTAATTAGAAGATCCCACGAAGTATAGTTCACATGACAAAACCATTTAAAAATTCGGTAAACAGCCATCCTCTTACATTATAGAAATCTAAAAAAAAAAAAAAGAACAGCTGAATACAACTTCCAGACATCTGAGAAGAAGAAAGGCATCACTTGTGAAACAGATCACTAATGGCATCTTGAAACAGAGAATGGACAGTCAACAAAATATACATGTGATAATTAAAGTACAAAAAGTTATCCCACAAGATGTCAGAAACGATGCAGCAAACAAAAAATAACCCATTAATCATCTTGAAAATATTAGATAACCTATTGAATGGAATCATTATATTCTCAATCCCCAACATTCCCCAGCAATAATGGCTTACCCTGCTATCAAAGTATCCAAAAGATCTGTATTTTTCTCCAGGTAGTCTGATGCAATCAACCTTGAATTAACTTGTTGCCTTTGTAGATTTGCAACAACCTGAGTGGCATCTTTTCTGGCCTGCAAAAAGAAACATTTTCATGCTAAATGAGAAAAAAGAGAAACTGGGAGTTAAATGAAAATTCTTTCCAGATGGGAATCTAATCCAACAGATTCAACAGGGCAGGTATAAAGTATAAAGCACATCACTAAACCGATCCATTAGGAAAGAACAATGATTAAGAATAGTATTCCCTCATTAATCTGATAGCAAATTCAAGATAGCAATCTACATAGCTCTCAACCAACAAACTCGTCAGTGGTTACCTCTAGGTTCAATTGGGATAGACAGAAGATCAAAAGACGAAGTGTGTTTTCTCTGAAAAACTCCTGAGTCAATTGTGCACACGCTTCTGACACCGGTTCAGACTCACTATTGCCATAAAGAATTGACTTTAACTCCCTGATATTTTTAGCTAACTCTGCCATCTGTATTAGAAAATACAATAGTCAAATTCGAATTCCACAAATAAAATGCTTGACAGAAGCTTAAATGCCCCAGTAGGAAAAGAACTTATCAAAACATGCAACAAAAGCAAGGAATTGTACAGCGACCCTAATGCATGTTCATCGCAATCTTACATCTACACTCAACAAAATTCAACAACACTAATCTAATTCTTTTATTGTGAATAAACTAGTTGAAACAAATCAATGACACATATAGCACCACAGATCACACCTAATTCACAAACCTACAATCAAAGTTTCCACTTTTACTCCCTTGACTACTAAAGCTACTAAAAAGCTAAAACCTTTACACGCAACCCACTACCAGTAATATCAGATTCCTCTCACAACACACCCAACCACATTCAAGTTAAACTTGGCCAGCAAACTAACCTCTTTGCAATCACATTAGCACTCAGCAAATTAACTATTTCTTCCTATCTATGTAAATATCACATCATATTATAGCATACTCTAATCCAAACCTCAATCAGACATCAAGAATCACCCTAAAAAAGGCAATTTTTCATAAAGATTGAACCTTTCTCGTCCAAAGCAAAAAAAAGAAAAGCAACCCAGAACCCAAACAATCTCAAATCAATCAAAATCCACAAAGCAACCCAGAACCCAAACACTCCCAAATCAATCAAAATCCACCTAATTAAAAGAAAACAACAGAAAAAGAACACAAGCACACATAAAATATATAGAAATGAATAGAAAGAGACTGCCAACCTTCTCTTCTCGTTTTGAATCAGATAAAGAAGCTGAACTCTGATCAACATAGATTAAAAGATCGCGAGTCTGTCTAACTATATCGACAGGAGTCCTCGGCTTTGACTTGAAAAGTCCCTTCATCCTCTTCGAATCACCCACTAACTGCCCCGATTTCGAACTCAACAGCACTGGATGTCCCGATTTCGAATTACTCAACAGCCCAGAATGTCCCTTTGTCGCTACTGCCGCTGCCGCTT